CAAGAACAAACTGGGAGGAGGGTAGAGAGAATAGTGCAACAATGAATGAATGGAAACCCAAAATCTCTGTAAATGTTTATGAAAATTAATAAAATATAGAAAAAAAAAAACAAAGAGTTGGACACAATCCAAGTGTTCAAGAGATGGATGAATATTAACACAATCCAATACTATGCAACACTGAAACATTATCAAGAATTTTTCAAACATTGAATTACATGGATCAATCTAGAGGACATATACTGAGTGAATGAAGCCAATCAGAAATGGCCAAAACTTGATGGCACAGCAGAAACATGATCAAAAACGAAAGACTCGTTTACACACGGGCTCAACCAGGAAGGTAAGGGGACTCAAAATTAATAAACAGATAATAACTACTATGACAGACAATACAGAATAAGTGGGTGACCAAACTCTGTGGGTATTGTAGTTAATTTTATGAAACAAAAGATATATGAATGATCAATTTAAAAACCAATATGCTTGGTAGACTTTCACTCTAACTGCACATACAATACAAATATCACTGCATGACATGCTACTTAGAACATTCTAGTACCGGGTTTCTCTTGCACAGGATAAAAATCATCAAGATGAACCAATCAAATTTAATCCAAATTCTTTTTTTTTTTTTTAATCCAAATTCTTAACCCCACTGCATTTCCACGGCCTGGGAAAAGCCTGTCCACCTTGCTCCCACAGGGCTACAGCTGAATGTGACTGGCTAGACGAGGCCCCCAGAGTTTCCAATTTCACTAGGAAACCAAATAAGTGAGGGGCCAAATGACAAAGTGCTAAGTGAGAAAAGTACAAGTTCCAGGTCTGCATCTTCCCTTTTCAGTCTGTAATCTCTCTTTTAGAAAAATTTGTAGGTAGAATGTTGGACGATACAAATGTCCTAAAACTACTAGGGCTGGGTTTAGAGGTATTGTTTACAGGGTTGCTATGAGTTGCAGGCACATAACGAGAACAGGAGATGAAATTAAAATGAAACTCAAGACCTAAAAAAATTTAAAAGGGCAAAAGACAATCTGGGAATTCTCTGTATTCCATGTAATTTTTTCTGTAGATCTAAAGTGACCCTAAAAATGAGTAAATACTCCTGGCTGAGGGGAAGCGGAGTTATTTGGAATGTGAAACTCATTATAAACAGTAACATTTTAAAGAGTTCTAACTACAGTTCTAACTGCTATCTAACCCTGTGCCTTTAAGAAAGAATAAATTCTCACCTAGAAATATGTGGTGCTTTTGAGATTGGTGTTCCAACAAAAGCCTGAGACAGCTCTGCATCAGGGAGAGCACGCACTGCAGGAGATGGGACGTCCATGTGGCAACTACAAGAACAAAACAAGAGCTCAGCCAGCCCTGACCAGGAACTGGCACAATCATTAAATAAAAACACTACAAAAAGGCTTTCATCCTTTAGTCTGGACCTTTCTGCATTATTTACAAATAATAATGAACTCTATCATTTGTTAATACAAAAAATCAGTTCATGCTTTTTATAGACAACTGATTAATTTGGACAATTTGATTGGCTTATTTACAAATGTTACTGATGCTGAGGGAAGTGGTATAAAGCAAACCATACCTAATGCTAGGAGAACTGCTGGTTTTGGGGTCATTGCCGGCCCAGACTTCTCCGATTTTAGTTAACACGCTATTGATGAAAGTGGATCTGGACAGCACAGTTGCTCTGGCAGCTGGTTTGGGAACTGCTGACAGTGGTTTGGGTTTAGTAACTGTAAGATAAAGAATGTAGTATTTAGTGTCATCTCTATATCACGAAGGAATTTATTAGAACAATTAATATGAAAGAATGAATGGAAACAAAGACCACTAAGAGTTGTTCCTGTTTGTTGTTAGGTGCTATCGGACTCATAGCAGCCCTATAACCAACAGGTCTGAACCTGACCTGACCCTGCACTTAGTCAATCTCACACCTGCCTGCTGTGGTGGTCACTGCTGCCAACCCTGCACTTGCCTATTGTGGCGGTCATGGTCACCAATGCTTCCTATGCGGGGCCTTCCTCTCTTTTGCTCACCTTCCTTTGCCAGTACAATGTCCCTCTCCCGGAAATATGTCAAAATAAGTGGGACAAAGTTTCGCCATCTTTGCCTCTAGGAGTCTAAGGTTTGGACTTCTTCAAGATCCATCTGTTTGTTCTTCTGGTAGCCCATGGGTGTTCAACACTCTTAACCAACACTGCAGTTGGAATCTTCTGACATCCTTATTCATTGTTGCTGTGATTAGGTAACATCAAGTGTACTATCACACTACATGACCATATGAAACTTTGCCATATCCTGTGCTTTCCTCCCAACCTCGGCCATGACCAAACCCACTCTAAGAGGGACGCTGTCAGCCCATCTCATTGAGGGTCTTCTCTTCCAATGGCCCTCTCCTTTTCCCAGCATGGTATTTTTTTCTTGATGTCCTGACAACATACCCACCATAAGTGCAACAAAGTCTCACTACTCCTGGCTGCACTTCCTCCAAGATAGATTAAAATCAATACTCTTCGCCATTACTACTGAAAGGCATCAATTCTACTCCACTCTTCCTTATCCACTGGGCAACTTTCAGATGTATACAGAAAATACAAAGCAAGAGCACCCTCAGTCTTAAATGGACTTCTCTGCTCTCTACCACATTCAAGAGGTCCCTGACAGCACATTATCCACCAAATACAACTTCTTTATTTCTTGACTGCTGTTATCATGGGGTTTGACTGTAGACTCAAATAAAATTAAATCCTTGGCAATTTCAAGCTTTTCTCCATCTATCATGATACTGTGTGTTTTGGGCCGCTGGCAAGTGTTTTTGTTTTCTTGATGTTGAGGAGAACTTGTATTCATGCTTACAGTCTTTGATCTTCTTCAGTTAACAGTAGTGAAGAGTTCTATTCAGTTAGGCAGAAATCTTACAATTTGGGCTTTTAGAAATGGGATATTATTAGATATGCTGTCTAAAAGTTGGAGAGTCTTGAGGCAAAATGAAGCCATTTTATCCTACATTGCATTAGTAGATCAGAAAGCAAGGCCTGCCAGTCTACTCCTATAGCCCAGTGGGCAGTTCACAAAGAACCAAGTCTCCAACAGACCAAATGGTACAGGACCAGGCAGGTGCCTGATTCTGCTGGGCACAGAGTCACCAAGAGTCAGTGGCTAATGTAACAGCAGCTCACAATACTCAACTCCACACACTGTCAAGCCTTCCAACAAAGCCCTGTCCTTCCTGGGACAGAATAACCAGTTAAAAAAACCAAAAATACCCAACCACCAAAACCAATGAATCTGAGAACACAGCAGCAAAAGTGAGCTAAATGTAAGATTATGATGGAATCAGAAAGGTTACACAGTGCTGCTCCCAGCCCGAGGAATTTATGGGATTCTTCCACTGAAGTCTCACCTTGGCGAAATACTGACGCTGATGGCAGGCGGTAAGGCTTGGCTCGCTCCGTGGCCAGCTCTCTTTGGACTCTGGGAAGGACCTTCCCATACTGGTCAAGCATAGAATTGCGAGCCACAGACCTCTCACGTAAACAAGGATCACGATCATTCTACCAAACACATCACAATTGGGAAAAATTAATGTAAAAAAAAAAAAAAAAGCAGCTGGATTCTAGGCTTATGCATTTTTTTATTTAAATTTCAGATCATAAACAAGCTATCTTCATCTTCCTCCCTACACACCTGTTTCCTGTTTTTCCAAATCAAGGATCTCAAAAGTAAACATAACTGCTTAAACCTGTCAATAAATGCCAGGTCTCTCCTAATAAGCCTTCTTCACAATTCAATTAAAGCCATGGCTCTCTTTACTAAACATCTCCATGTGCCAAGCAACAGGAAAACAGTATCATTTTATCGATGAGAAGACCAAGGCTGGGACACATAAGTGGCATATCTCAGGTGCAGAGCACCTGAGCAAGCAGTGTGACCTCAGAATCCCAGGTTCTTTTCACTACAACCTTGACTTTTTCTCTGAGTGAAGTCATTAGTTTGGCAAGACTGTATAGATGTATAAAGAGAAATGCCATTTATAAAAGTATAGTTAAGTGGTAAGAATGGATCTCAATTTTGCTACAGAGAGTGAGAACAATCTTCAACTTTTCATGTTTAAGCTCTCATAGAGCATACATAGTGTAAGATCTTATGGAACAATTTAAAAATCCCAAAACCACAGCTAATGATTTGATCCCAACTCCTGGTGACAAATCCCCACCAGGTCGCCCTAATTATAAATCTCTATGGGAGTAGATTGCCTATCTGTATCTTTATCCTGGCCATCTAACTTTAACAACTGCTGACCTTTTGTTAGACTACCAGCACAATGCCTAACACACTATGTCCCTTACATGCAACTAGGAGGAAAAAAAGTTGCCTGTTATCTTTATTCTCTTGTCTGCCGTAATAAAACAATCTGAATCATACCTTAAGATTCATCTTCAGAGTTTGGTTTAACTTTAATGCAGGAATATAATTGGCACGCTGCAAATGGTGAACTAAAAGGAACTCATGATTCTGAGCATTGGCACTGGACTGCAAAAATTTCACTAAGCACTCCTATAAGGAATAAAAGAGATGTGTGTGAGCTACTGAGTTTTCTTGAATCTGTGCTATGTTTGCACTCATGCATCACTACCTGCTCAATGTCTGTAAATGGTAACTTCAGTAAATCTTCCATTAAGCCCTTCTCCTGGCAGACTTCATATGTGTGCTTGAGTAACTCCTCGACATTCAAGCTGTGAGAATGAAGTCGTAGGAGAGTCCAGGCCTCCACCATACACCTGAAATCAGTATTTGTTGTCAGGTCATTTAGTGTTAGGAAATTCTTAAGAAGGTATAAGGCAAGGATAGCATCTCAAGACTCTGAAAGATATTTTAACACATAATTTAAAAATACTTAAAGTTATTATACCTTAATAACTGCTTAACAGATCTTGGAAAGAATGGAATACAAGGCTTAAAATTTAATGATATGCTGGACTATATAGTTATTTAAGACTTAAAATATAAAATTAAGGAAAGCAATTCAAAGAAGGTAACACAAATGTGGCCTGGATCGCACCAAACAGAGAAGTCAGGCACTAAGGAAGTGACCCAGCATTAGAAAATGCGCACTGGCCCAAGAGCAGGAACAAGCACGTGACATGAAGGGCAGGGCTAAGCGGTAAATGATTTTGGATGATCTACAGTAAGAGCTGACTGGGAGATTTTGTCTGTGGGAAATGAGGATATAATTTATATTAAGCTATACATTATGCCCCACCTCCCCAAATGTACTTGTTTAATAATCTTCTAGATCAGGCAGGAATTCTGGGGCTTAAAAAAAAATACTCAAATGTGCAACACTCGTATCCCAATGACAGGAGCAGTAAGATGACATAGAGGGTTCTTGACAAGATTCAACCATCTCACTACAAGGAATAGAATCTTAGAGAAATCAGGATAAAGCATAAAGATTGATATACACGGGAGCTTTGGTGGCCTAGTGGCAAGAAGCTGCATTGCAATCCCAGACATGGGCAGTTCAAATCCACCAGATATATGCTCTGCTAGAGAAGGAGGGGCAATCTTCTCCTGTACAGTCAGATATGATTTGACTGTACACACACAAAATAATAAAAAATTTTTTTTAAAAAAGACTGATATACAGTGATATATAACCAAGTACGTGAAGTCCATACTTGAGGAGGTATGTATCAACTTATAGCTGTTAAGTAAAAAAGAAAGTATAAACTGTATGATAACAATTACCAAAATAAGAAAATCCACTAAAAATAACTGGCATATATATTTAGAAATATTAAGAATAAGCCTTGAAAAAAGGCATTTAAGATTGACTAGTGATTCATGCGAGAAAGATGAATAAACGTGCCACTGAGAAGCTCTAAAACTGACAGGCCCCAAAAGGAGGCTGGAAGGTCAGCTAGATACCTAACAGCACTGGTTAACCTGACAGTTTGTTTTGAAGAGGTATATAAGACAAAGGAGGAAAACACATAGAATGTCGAACAGATAAAATTAACATCAGGAAAAACAAGGAAATCATTTTCTTTTTTCAAAAGGCACCAATTCCTTATTAAAAATCAGTAAGTCTTATTTAAATGGTCATCTTAACAATAACATAAAGATTTGGAAATAAAAAACTGACATGTAAGAAAGAGAATATATGAAGATAAAAGAGCAATTAGTATTCATAATAAAAAGTCATCTGGAAAAGTTTTTGGCAGCGTTGCTTAAGAACACTGTACTTTTGCTAAGATGAACATTTGGAAGCAGACGGTGGTGGTGACTGTTGTACAAAATGGGGAATTACTTTTCTCACCATAGAAAAAACTTAAAAACTTACCGATTAAAAAGTAAAACAGTGAGGTGAAGGAGAACATCCTCACTGCTGGCCACAGGTGGCTTTAGGGTCTGGATATACCTGAGGGCGTGTTTGTGTTCGCCCTGGCACATGAAGGCCTGAAGAATCCTTGAGTGCTGCCATGTCATTGGCTTTGCTGTGGTTGGGTGGAAAAGAATATCCAGAGCACTCTGCAGACAGAATATGCGAGAAGGGCTAAATACAAACACAACCCTTTTTCCAGTCAAACAAAGCAGCTAACTTTTAGGAATACAAACAATATTAAAACCCCAATGATTATCCAAAATACAAAATTCAAGAGAAAACCAGACGTACGTAATACGTAAGTGGAAAAGATGGCATTTAGCCTAAGACTTTTAAGAGTTAAGATTTAACAAACCCTCAAATTTTAAGACTTCATTAATCTATCCTATAAAAGGTTTCCACATTCAAGTTCATATATTAATGGCAACTCTTACCTTCTACGCTATCATGAGGACGGTGCAGGACAGGGCAAGACTTTGATCTGTTGTCATGACTCAACAGCACCCAAGACAATGGCTCACCCAACACCCCAAACTTATCTCTAAAGCGATTAATTATCATACTTGAATTGTAAATAATTACTTAGTTGTTTCTTTACACAGTAAAGAACTTGGTTTTCTAAAATGTTTTCTCTTTTTATGCTTGTTACCCAAGATAGACTGGCCAAAACCAACTCCCTTTTCAGTGATATCTAGAAATAATGTACAACACAGCTTTTGAAACCAAATACAAACAAGTTAGGAGAGTTTTTATTCCTAAACGTTACATAAACTAACAGACCTACCTCATAATCACTATGGTCGAGCAGCCAAAAACCTTGAATAAGTTTAACCTGGCCCCAAGAAATGGCAAAAGCACCTGGAAAGGATGCAACTGAAGTCTCCGTTTTGTCTGGAAAGGAATATATAATATCCAGCAACAAATAAATGGTCTGTGTTGGTTTTGGGGTTTTTTTTTAATAAAAAAAAGATTAAGGACAATAAGCAAGAACGTCTATCACATTTATGTTCCCAGTTGGCTGTAAAAGAAAGGAGCATTACAGACACTTAAAGACTTCTTTTAGCATTAAGAGAGCCATCTTGGAAATCCAGCTATGGAAACACAGTGACAGGGGTACAGAGAGTCCCACAACTAACTTCACTCTTTCCCAACACTAAGTTATAAAAAGGGTGACCAAAGCTGGCAGTTCAAACGGAATGATGCTTTTCATTTTAAGTACAAAAACCTTATCTCAAAGAGCACAGGGCTAAAAAATAATGCCAAAGGGAATTTTAATTTTTATTCATCACATGTGTTAACCCCCTCAAGAATGTGTTTAAATCAATTTTAACTTGTGAGTGCTTTGGATACCCTAGAGAACTGCATGTAAATCATGGATTTATCTCTAGGAAAAGAAACACGACATATTTTCCATATATCCTCACTTTACAAACCCAACCTGGATTAAGAATAAAAAGTTCATCTTAAAAGAAATTCAAACATCAAGTTTTAACTGTTAAGTCCCTACTACTCTGAAGTTTTAGGATTTTGGTAATACATAAATGAGCTGATAAATTTTAAAAGGATACAATAGCATGTTTGATTGTTTCAGAAACATTGTCTAGCAGATAGATGTCCAGAAGAGCCTACAAACACAAAGGATAAAAGCTTCAGTGCCTTGTAAAGCTTCAGTTACACATTCACACTCCTTGCCTACCCCCCTTTTTGACTGCCATGTGTGATAAATGTGGGTAAGCACGCCTTCCCCCTACTCTGCATTCTTGTGGCAGTTCTACGAGGGGTCATTACTGCAAACCTACATGTAGACTAGTAGGAGGGTATCTTCCGGTGCCTCCTTCATCTCGTTTCCAAAGATTCTCAATTCGACCTCCTAACTGAGAAACCAATCCATCAATCATCAAGCAATCAGGGTTCCACTTCCCTCTGAAATGAGGACAGCATTAAGAAGATGGGTTATTATTACTAAAACAACACATACTAAAATCTAAAATGCAATAAACCCAAATATTATGAGAGGAAAGTGGAAAGCTGGATTCCCTTTAGCATCGTAAGGACTCCAGACATCAAGGAGCGTTAACAGAAAACCCTAATGTTGCCCCAAGCTTTGCCAACAGCAAGCTGGTGAGCCTCTGTAAGAAAGCAGCCCAGAAGTTGAATGAATGCCCACACTACATCCTCTGCTGCTCTGAGAAAATTACCATAAAGTTCAACAGTCTGGTGTAGCAAAATTACTACTTTGGTTGACAATCAACAAGCTAGAGTATGTTTCATATTTTGAACTTATCAATTAATCTTAATGATTCCCCTTCATTAAAAAAATATACAAATGAGCACCAGCAATGTGATAAGCAGATGTTTCTTAATCTAACACAAGAGCAGCAGTCATTACTATTTACAATCATTGTAAATACCATTCTGAACAATCATTCAATACTAGCTGTCCTGCATATATTATGTCTTAAAATTTTACTTTCTAACTTACATGAACAAACAGATGAGAGCTTAGCTAGCAAACCTGTCCCAACACATGCATGTAGTAAATACTAGATCTAGAATCTTAAAATAAGGAAGCTCTCGTGGCCTAGTGATAAGAAGCTGCTGCACTGCAATCCCAAAGGCACATGGTTCAAATCCACCAGATGATCCTCTGGAGAAGGAGGGGCAATCTCCTCCTGTGCCAGCAGGATCAGATTCAACAGTACACATACACCAAAAAAATTTTTTTTTAAATAAGTAAATAAAAGAAATTAGAATCTTATAGCAGGCTTAATTAATCGCCCAAACCATCCTAGACTATTGATAGATGCTTTTGAGTTAGCTCATAAAGTCTATGCATACAATTTTTTCCCCAAATCTGCCAGGCATAATTACACCAACATTTATTGTATTAGAGAGCTGTGTGAAGTTTATAGAAAGACTGCAGAAAGTAGTTTCTACAAACTTCCTCCTTCCCCTTGTGGTTCTCCCCTTGTTAACTAAAACTAACATCTTGCATTTGGTATAAATGATGAACCAATTATCATTACATTATTATGAACTAAGGCCCCCAGGTGACATTATGGTTTCTTGTGTTGTAGTCTTTTGGATTTTGACATGCATATAGTGTTATATGCCCACCATAAAAATATTTATCCCTATCTGAATGTCTGTCAACTATTGGTTTTGCTAATGTCTCAAGATTGCCGCTTTCATTTATGTGGAATTGAAGAGCATGAGGCCTTTTCAAACTGTCTTCTTTCATTCAAAGATATGATTATAAGGTTTCTTCACATGTCTCTATAGCTTGATGGTGCATTTCTTTCAATTGTTGAGTAGTATCCATTTGTGGATACACTACTGTCTGTATATCCATTCATTTATTGAAGAATTTCTTAGTCTCTTTTCTAGTTTCTGACAAGTATAATAAGATTATGTTTTTAATGTTTTCCAAAGTGGCTCTACCATTTTGCATTTCCACCAGCAATAAAGTAGTTCCTGTTGCTCCACCTCACTAGAATTTGAAAGGGTTATGGATGTTTGTCATTCTGAAAGATATGCAGGAGGGGCAGCTATCTAAAAGTACAGATTCCCAGGTGATGGAACAAACTGGAAATCAACATCTGCATCACTGCTGTTATATGCTACTCTGTAATTCTATAACTGAAATGTGGGAGAAAAGGCTGTTTAATTACAGAGGTAGGGCCAATACTATAAACTTTGACTGTTTCACTGGAATCAATTAGGCTAATATTTATGTATTTTAAAAAAAGAAAAATTAAAAACAAAGTGAACAAATTGCTGAAATAGTAACTTATGGAAAAAGAGTTTAAAATAATTTTAAATGGTGATGTATTATTTCCTTTTTTGATGAACAGTAACTTCCATTCTTAGAATCTCTTCTAACAAATCATTTCCATGAAAGTAATTGAGGAAATAATGACTAGCTAGCCTCACTTTCTCCCATAAACATGTATTTTTTGGATTAAGACAAACAATACAACTAAAATGCTAATTCTGGCAACAAATTCTGACACTTTACCAAAAATTCCACCACTTAAAGGCTTTGAAACCTGAGGAAATCTAGTAATGGATAAATGTGAGAGAAACCTGGCTTGTTAACCAAGTGTTCTATGAAACGTGCCTTGAGGGTTCGGGATGTACTGACCTTGACAGGTGCTCACAGCTCTGCCGACGACTGGTGTAGTAGTTCTGAATTACAGAGTAGTTGTAGCGTAAGCTTGACAACTGCACAGCATCATCTAGATATTTTTTTAAGATTTTGGGGGAAAAGGCTAGTAATATTTCCAGAATACATAAAAAACACTTAAGATTACACATGATATTTTACTATCAATTTACTAATTCACAGGTGTGTGGAATTAAATAATAAAAAAATATTACATGTCCCTTTATTTACAGACACACAAGTGAGAAAATGAGAGGTTCTCAGGAAGTCTAAACCAGCAAGGATACTGGTTCAAAAGCCTGATCTGCATAATGATCTAATACTCTTGTACATACAAATGATAATCTGAAAGAAAGCAATTTCACTATACTTGTCAGAATCTAAGAAAACAATGAAATAAAACAATCAAGAGCAGTTACATGCACGATGACAGAAGCACTTCTAAATAAAATCTAACAAATGAAATTCTCTAATCCTTGCTATTAGCATCTAATCTATAAAGATAATCTAATCTAAGAGTATTTAATTAATCATAGAAATGTTCATTAGTAGCCACATTAAAAGACATCCAGCAAATTAAATTCTAAAATTAAAAAATATGACTTCAAATTTGAGGTAGTGATGTCAGTGAACATGTCTTCAGAAGTCATGTTTTCTCAAATTTGTTTTCCCTATACATAATGAATATGTATCGAATGGCCTCTGTATACCAGGCATGGACTGATGACCACAAGATATGAAGGAAGAGAATGGAAGAAAAGAAAGTGAGAATAAAAAAAAAAATACAAGTGAGAATAAAATGTAAAGCAGTATAAAGTGTGAAGAATATTTAATTAATACTAGTATATTAAAAAAAATCTTTTACCTAATCCCTCTGGTAGAAGTCCAGAATGACAGAACCAAAGCACCATTTGTGCATACTGACAGATGAGCCGAGAAACCACGTGCTTACTGTGTAAATCCATTAGTCCTGCAGGACAAGTTTCATGTCATCAAGACAGAAATGCAAAATCAAAATGCTGAGAAGTTTTCAAAAGCTATTTCCTTGGTGAACTTAACAGTATATCTAAATAGGTGACATTTACACAATGGGGGTAGAGTGTTAGAGGAACCAAACTCCACCTAAACCCAACATAGCTGAAATATAATCCTCAAACACTGGCCACACAGCTCTGGTACTATAGCAGCACTGTGGTTCCAATCCACTAGCTGCTCCCGTGACAGTTACCTGCCTCTGTAAACCTACTGGAGGGCAGACATGGGTCAGTTCTAACTTGACAGCACATAACAACCTCAGAAATCAATACTAGTCTAAAGTTGAGATGTATATTTACTATACACAGCATCCACAGAAAAGGTGCATTTTCAATGAGATTAAAACAAAAAGTGCTTTACAGAAAACACAAGGTTTCTGTATCTACTGTTACAGCAGCAGCTATGGACGGACACCTTCAGAAATTCTCTTGTTTTTCCCTAGCAATTCTTACACTGGAAAAATTTATCTTGAAATGGTAGCAACCACAGCGCAGACTTCAAGTTATGGCCTTTACCAATAATCTAGCTTTTTCCAGTAATGTAGTGACTGTGCTTTTAGACTACTTCTAACATCAGCAGGAGCACTTCACAGGGGTCCCATTCAAGGTTTACAGTATTACATTAAGCATGCAAAAATCCCGAGATCACAGCTCACTGCAGCATGCAATCTACAGCGATGACCAGCCTCACTAGGCATTTCAAGTCACCAACATGAGTGCATGGCAGTTGCAGCAAAGGAAAACAGCATACATAAGTGGACTTTCAGAGTTCAAACCTGTGCTGCTTAAGTGTAATTTTAAACAAATCTAGCCTGAATCTATTTCAGTTTGGTCCAAAATGATGTCAGATAAATACACACACAAGATACTAGAATAAATAAAATGAGTCATCAATTGAAGGAGACACAGACATCTATTTGAGCTACACTTCCATTTAGCTAATTTCAGAAGTCTAGTGATAGAGAAACACAAACTAAACAATAAATGGTTAATCTAAGTTGTTCAAATCAAGTTTTTAAAGGAAAATAGTTTCTCTGATTATTTTCTTAAATGATTAAGACAGAAAAAAAAGGCCTCTATGAACATAAACACACAATTTTAAATTCTCTTGGAAGTACATGATCTTAACCACCATTTATTTTCAGCATTTCCCTACCTTACATAAAAACTTGGAGTGTCTAGTAATATATTACAGCTTTTCATTAAAATACTACTGTCTGAGAAACAGGGGCTGCTTATACACTGATCAGTTCAAGGACTTTATTCTTTCCCTACATCAAGAAGGAAAATGTAACAGAACACAATTTATATAAAACAAAGAGCACACCTCTGTTGGTGACCTCTTGGGCCTCTGTAGCAAAACAGCCTAAGACTGTGCTAAGGTTGCCAAAAAGCACATAGCACTGCTGGACACACTGTGTGATCTGTGGGTCGACGAAATGGCACGAACCATCAAATAATGGAGCACCTTCCAAAAGACAAAATATAAAATTAATGTCTACAGTGTAAATGTGAATTAGAATCAGAAATGCAAAATTTCTCAAATCCCATTGTCCCATATCACTGTATAAAGTCTGAGATTTATAAAAGACAAAATTCCAAGAAATCGATGAGGGACAAACACAAATTATTATAAAGAATGCAGATTTAGGAAGCAACAGTGATGCTAGCCATAAAAGAGCCCTTCAAATAAAATTTGGATGAGATTGACACATAGATTTTATGAAAGACCTATTTCTCCCATCTGTAGTCTTCAAAATGATGTACTTGTTGACACAGCTGTTATCTTTTAATTTCAAATCCAAGGCTGAGTGTGACAAATTTTATTTTGGTGGGTATTTTAATTGCTAATGGTAACAACTTTTAGAAAAAGTATACAAATAAATCATTCTCTAAATAATATAAGGGGCATTTCCAAAAAAGTGTACAGTTACAATTTTAATGGTTAGTTAAGTAGCTGGTAAAAACTATCTGTATTTTGAAAGTCTCTGAAGTGTTTTGAAAAGTCTTTGCCTTACAGCATCCAGCCAATGGGACAAAGTAAATTTGAGTTAGAAAACAGTATTAAATATTGGACATTTATTACTTGTGAGGAACATTTTATCAATAAGTAATGAACTCATTTAATTGCTCTAGGAGGCAGGTACTACTACTCCTACTTCCCAGATGAACCATATGAGGGCACATAGATGACAATTTCCAGTGTAAACCAGCATGAGTCAGAATGGAGACTAAAAACTTCTCAAATCATCTAGACCCAAAGACCCTTGCATGACCAAAAGATATTAAAAGATTTACTTTTTATGATCAGTTTCATGGTTTTAATATTTATGTGTGATCTGCCAGGAAAATAAATTACTTAATTATAAAATCTCCCGATTTTGTAATTCTAAATCTCTAAATACATTTTCTTTGCTTTCAATATAGGAAGGCAATCTTAAGACTACAAACTGCCCCTATATATGTATCTTTAAGTAAAAAGCCACAGAATAATTTACATTTAAGTGACAAAGTTAATTTTTCACCAAGATTTTGCAATAGATTGTTAAATGGGCAACATGACAAAATTGCACTATATATCAAAGTGAAATTGTGACATTTACAAATGCTCAAGGTTTAGGGTTTTTATTATGTATGTAAAACATAAACCCAGATTAGTGTTTTTAAATATACTCACATAGTCTGTCAAATTCTTCTTTTGTAACAATCATTTTATTCCATGTCCATTCAAGAACCAAGCGTAAGTTAGCAGCAGAATTTGGTTGCTCTTAAATGCAAACATAAAAGGCAAAATTAAAGAATGATTATTTATTAATTACATACAGAAAATTAGCTGTAGGAAAACTTAGCAGCCATCTCCCCAACCGTATCATTTCTCATTCTGTAGAACAACAGAGCAGAGAACATTTCATTTCCTGCAGTACTCTTATGCCCATGAAGAGCAGAGGGCAGCCCAGTCCAAAAGGCTCCTTGAAGGGCTGAGGACCAGAGGAAGGTGTGTGTGCCTGCAGGGCAGCTCCTCATCCAAGAACTATATCCTAAGTGCTCCTAAACCTGAATTGTAAGCTCTATTCCCCCTCAAAGAGCCCAAATACTCCAAAGGACTGTTTGCGCAGTTCTACGAGGCCTATAATTCTCTAACTGAGGCAGGGCTGGAATTAGACCTACAAATAGTTAACAGATCTGTCTGACACACCCCTCAGAGGAAGTAGCTTGGGTGACTGATGCTAATAATTCTCCTTAACCCTTGTAAATGAAGGTGAGACACCTCATGTTTACTCACACAATAACAGACCTACACTCTTTAAAAATTCAAAGACGAAGGCTAAGTAATGGTACCTTACATATTAAGGGACATGAAAATGAAATGCAAAGTGTGATTCTGGAGTTCCTTCTCCTGGGAAGTGGGGTGGTGATGGGGGGTGTGTGTGTGTATGTGTGGGTGTGTCACAAAAGCATTGTTTAAAGGACATTACTGAACAGTCAGTTGGTGATAATAAGGTTTACAAACTAAGTAAAAGCATTGTATTAAATTTTCTTGATTTTTAGAATTTAAAAAGTGCTTTTGTACATAAAAGCACCTGCTGGTAAAGGAGACACTATTTATGGGTAGAGAAGAGCAATATGTTAAACTTTTCTCATGGTTCAGGACAAAAAAAGTGTGTATGACGTGCATCTATAAAATTCAGACTCAAAATTCAATCCTCCTCAAGGTTTCCAAGGCTTTAAATCATACAGCAGGATCTTTCTGCTGAGAAGCCATCAGGGGATTCTACCAATCAAGGAGGCAAGACCTTCATATAACAAGGTAAGCTATCAGAGGTCCCTCTCTGTAAAAGAGCAACACAAAGGATGCCTTAGCAATGGACACTCTGCGACTGGACCATGTTTCTGTGATACTGTACTAGAGTGCTAGAAGACATCACACTGGAGCAAACCTGGTACAAAGGATCTCTCTATTGTCTCACAAATGCCTGGTAGTCCACAATTACATTAAAATTAAATTAAAAAATAGACCAAGTTGACTTTTTAAAGTAGAAAACAAATTTTAGTTTGAGAAACCAGCATCTTACCATTTGCTATCCACCTTCTGATACTGCCAGTCAAAAGTCCCAGAGAATTTGTGTGAATTGCTGCTGACAATATTGCTTCTAACTGTTCTTCCTAAACCATATATATTTTTTAAAAGAACACAAGGGGGGGGGGAGAGAATTAATGAGATTATATAACTCCTAGGCACTATGTTTTCATTTAAAACATAAAACTGTAAAGGCTTAAAAATCATTATAACCTATTAAAATGTCGGTTACTAACAAGCGAGAGGTGGTAGCTTCCTAACTGCTAGTGGGAATATAAAATATACACAACAACAGTCCAGCAGGCCTTCAAAGGAAATATGCATAAGAAATGAAGGTATTTGTCTACAGAAAAAGTTTATATGATCTATCAGCAGTATTACTCATAACAGTAAAAAGTGGAAGCAATTCAAAAGCCCATCAACTGATGAACAAAGAAAACAAAATCTGGTAAAGCTACACAATGGACAAGGAGCTCTGGTGGCCTCACAGGTGTAAAGTTCAGCGGCCAACCCAAACAAATGTCCTTCGAATCCACCAACTGCTCTGTAGGAGAAAGATGAAGAATGTTCTCCTACACGGTTTACAGCCTCTAAAAACCTGCTGGGTGGCAAGAAACTGTGCTGCAATCCTGAAAGCACACGGTTCGAATCTACCAGATGCTCTGCAGGAGAAGGAGGGGCAATCTCCTCCTGGTGCTAGTCGGATTCAACTCGATGGTACACAAGAAAAGGGAAAAAAAACTCCAAAAACAAACAAACAAACAAAAACCCTGCTGGATGGTTAGCTATAAGTAGGTTCTACCTTGACAACAACAACATACAATGGAATACAAAGGGGAAAATATATTACCATATATTTATATTTGCCATACAAAGGGGGAAATAAATACATTACATGCTGTAACACAGATGAACTCTAAAAACATCTAAGTGAAAATAATTAGTGAAAAAAGACTGCACAGTATTTGATTCTAGAATAGGAAAATTGATAAAAGTAATTAGTAGTTATTTACAGCTGGGGAGAACAGAGAAAACACAGTATCATGGATATTTTAATGCATATGGTGTTTTGGGACATTGATAAAAGTACTCTAAAATTAACAGCTGTGATGGTTTCACAATTCTGAAACTAGAGAATTACACAAATTACCTATCTAACTGCATGGTACTATCTCTAGTTTTTATTTAAAAGGCAGTATGAACTAACTGAATATTAGATAAATCTAAGATTTTATCCATTAAAGTAGCACATGTAAGACTTTAAAATAAAAGTCCCAAGGTTGTAAATCTTTATGGAAACTGTCTCATGTCTCTCCCACTAAGTGGCTAGCAGGTCCAAACCTCAGATCTTTTAGTTACAAGTCAAAGATGTTAACCACTGCCTTCCAGCACGCCTATAAAATGATACGGGTTACCTCAAATGAGAAAAGTATGACTGTATATAAGACTCACTAAAGTCATATCCATTGAAATAGGCATAAACAAGGATTTTTTCATTATTATTACCACAATTATATTCTATTGTTTTCAGAGATGCTCTACCTGAGTAATGAGGAAATCTAGTATGCAAAAATGAAGGGGAGGAAAAAGACCCCTTTTTGCTAGTATGTTAAAACAGAAAATCCAAGAGATTCATTCACACAGGAGGAGACTGCCCATATTTCTCCCACAGAGTAACTGGTAGATCCAGACCATGTGCTTTTGGGTTGGCAGTGCAACAAAAGAAACAAAAATTAACTGCATTTACATACTAGAAATACTGTCATTGTTAGGTGCCATCAAATGAGCTCCGACTCAAAGCAGCAGCGTGACCACTGGCTAATTCTGCCTCATCCTCAGTCTGTGCGCTTAAGCCCACGGCTGCAGTACTGATTCAATCCATTTCACTGAGGGCCTTCTACTTTTTCCAAGCTTCATGTCATTCTCCAGGGACAGGCCTCTCCCGAGAACATGCCTCAAACAGGTGAAAACAATGTCTCAGCACCTCTGCTTCTAAGAAGCCCTCTGGCTGCACTTCTTCCCCTAGAACTTGCCTGTCTCTTCAAACTCTTCACACCCTTCTGAATCTGATTTTTTTGTTTGTTTTATTCTTAGGAAGAAATAATGACTACTAGTCTGAACACATTCCTGGGAGTAACATGCCCACAGTTAGATGGGAGAATGGTAAACATTCCTGGTATCTAAACACAAGGAGGATCATTTATTATTATAATAATGGAAGAGTTTATAAAACCTTTTGTTTTCATTTTTCCTTTCCTCTTCTGGTATTTTCAGGTAAATACTGAGCTTTAAAAATGTGACTTATTAGCTTTATTACCAGGCAACACTGTTTAGAAATGTCTTCCAAACAGGAACATAAACTAGGACTAGGATCCAAGGAGAAGACTATACATACTCTTTGAGAAACTTGAGGTTTTGACTCTCAGAACTGAGTGTGATTTCTACTATATCTGATCATGTCTCTTTTCCGGAATCCAGTATCCTGCTAATAATAGGCTTTCACAAGCAAATGATTTCAACAGAGCACTGGTTCTGGTTCCCAAACCAATACAGAAGAATCATAATCAACACCAGTTTGATTCCTTAGCTCAATTCTTAGTTGCTGGTTAAGTAAGTCTTAGGTGGGAACTAGGATTTGCATGATGCAGATGGCAAGGATTTTATTTGCTGCTAAAAAGAACAAGATTCACCTAAGTCAAAGCTGCCACATGGCAGCCCATTCTCCCATCATCTATGCTGGTCTCTTTGGGGCCTGCAAATAGCTCTTTGCTATGAGAACTTCCACTCATGATAAACATTAAGCATGTATCATGGTGTTTCCTATCTGATACCCTTTTCCACACAGCTAAGTGCACCTGATGTCATAAACTACTGGATCCTTGGAGTTTGAATTTTCAGTCAAACTCAAGGTTACAAATTCTGATTATTGCAGAGTAAGCATTACACTATATCACCTATTGCTACAGAAATTATTTAGCTGATTTCTGTTATAGTAAAAGCCAGTAATATCTGATTTAAAAAAAGAAAAGTTGGAAACCATCTCACTTGACTTAAGGTGGAAGGCTGCATATCAGTAAGTCTTGGCGAGAGAAGGCCCGCCACCAGACACCGATTGTAACCATCAGGAATGACCTCATTGAGAGACGGTCCCGATTTCCGTAAAAACGTCAGAGTCTACAAGAGAAAAGTGTTAAGTCAATAACAATCTATCAACAGTGAATTTAAAGACTCAAGTGAGGACAATAATGACTGCAAAAGGACAATTCTCCTACTGCACACTTAACATTTTGAATTAAAGTCTTAACAGACCATCACGTTTTCAAGCTACTAAACTAAACCAACACTTGTTAGCTCTATAAGGTGCTTTAGAGGAATCTCCATGTTTTTATGAAATGTTTTATGAAATGCTTGTATAGACGTGATGAAAGAGCTAGAAAAACTAAGGCAACACTCTAACAAAACCCAAAGTTTATTCTCTTGATCTAATATCAAATTTGATATGAACTGAAAATATGATAAGCAAAAACAGTCAAAGAGATCTACTATCTCATGTAATGACGATAGTTACAGAGGCCTTTCACAGGGTCACTATGAGTCGTTAGCTATCAACAACATGTGTCCCTGGAAAATGACTCTTTCGGCCTAGTCTTCACCCACTCTGTACCAGGTACTTTCCAACATGCTAGGTCTATTTGCATTACTTCATTTACTCTTAAGAGCGACAGCATTCTGAGACAGACAAGAGAGGACAAGACTGAGAAGGACAGGATGGGAAATGGAAAGACACTACCTATTTTTCTTTTTTTGGCAGGTGGATGCCAGGAGCAGTACTAAACCCTAAAGCTAGTATTTAAATAGAAATATTAGCTTATTTAATTAACTCTAAATCAAGTTAATATCCATCAGTTAAATACCTCAAGATCTAACATCAGTTCAATTATACGCAGTCTGTGTTGAGAGTTGTGACCTACCTCTTTCTGAAAGCCAGTACAAGTTATATGAACAACTCCTGAGTTTAACAAACAAGTGGCATCTAAAAAAACCAGTAATAATAAGGATTAAAAAGTATCCACTTGCATGTTGTATTTAAAAGATATTTGCAGAACAAAACAGACCTTAATAACTGATCGTTAGGCAAGGAGTAAACCCAATGACAATAAACTATTATTTTCCCCAGCATTCCCATCCCAATCTAGATTACATAATGAGCCTACATATTCATCATAAAAAAGCTTTTGCAAATTCAAAATAATGGCAATCTTTCATAAAGTATTAATTCTTTACACATATTACATTTCCCATAAATGTGCATCGAAATTATTTTTCTAATTTATTCATATAACTGAGCTATGAAGAGATAATACTATTTATAAATTACACACCCATTATCTGTATGCTTTTTATGTATTAGTTTTCTCAACAACGTCAAAAAGATACATACCAAAACTGTAAGTACTTGGGTTAAAAAACTGCTCAGGAGGTGGATACAATGGAGGAACGCCTCGACTTAAGCTTCTCTCATGGACTAATATATCCAAGATGTAATGTGGGGAAGTCTTACTTACAACAGAATCCAATGACCACAGTGCAAAGTAAGAGCAGTTATGTAAATATTCCCCTGATCTAAAAAGAGATATTTTTTAAAAGCATTACTAAGTCATTCATCTGCGGCAGAGAGAGAGAGAAAAAAAATCAAACAAAAAAGCATACCTTAATGAATCTGGCATCTGTGCATGATACCAACGATTTATGTCAAAAAGTCCCAAATAAATAGAAGGCTTTCCCTGTCCATATACATTCACCTGCCAGGTAAATACTGAAACACTAGTGTCGGGAGACAGAACTGAAAAGAAAGAAAGAAAAAAATAAAAAAAAAATTCGTCCAAAAGAATTACAGCAACATTTTCTACAAATCAAGTGCCTGGTCATATTTGATTTTCTCCAAATTTTTTTATCACTTGTTATAGAAGAGATTCCCCTGTACACTGGATCATTTAGAGCATATCTCTATTTTATTTAAACCTTATTTTTTAAAGCACGAATAAAAAAGTTACTACTTTTAAACTTAACACTTTAGAACTTCTGATGTACTTGGAGTTGGAAAGCAGAAAGTTATTTTAATGCATTTATTTCCCAAGGACAGTACTCAGGTAGGACCAATGGATGGATGTCCAGGGCATTAGTCTTTGATTCTTTAGTATGACTCTATTTTAGTTGAAAAGGATCAGCTACTTCAACAATTAAGAGAGAAAAAAGGGCAAATATTTGGATGGTGCTATAGAAATGAAAAGAAACAGGCTGGCAGGCAGAAGAACCAAATCAAATAAAGATAGTGAGACAGAGAAAATAAAAATCTAAGACACTACAGTGTAAGGTAAGCAGCATAAAGTATGAACGGAGAGGAGATAGAGCATGCTAGGACCTTTCTATTTTTTTAAACTATTAATATTTTTTGTCTGTGTACTGTCAAACTGGACCTCACCGGTACAGGAGGAGAGTGTCTCTCCTTTCTCCAGCAGAGCAACTGATGGGACCTCTTTCTGACAGGTCTAACTGGATGGGAAAAACGGAATCACTAATACCAATGTGGGAATCAGGACAGAGAAAATGTCTGGGATGGAAGGATGAGTTCAAGATAGCAAATCCAATTAAGGCACAACGGCAACCAGGGAACAGCTGAGAACTCAAAACTGAGGAAGCCAAGAAACAGTAGGCACAAGCACATCTCTCACTTAATCTTCACAACTTCCCTTTTTTGAAGGGTATCACTGTCATTGATTGAGACCGTTCACAGCTTCAGTTTGCTCGGCTCCACGGTCAACACTCTTGGCACCAGTAGCCAGGAAATCAAAAAACGTATTGCAATGGGAAAGTCTGCAGTTAGGGACCTCTCTAAAGTACTCAAGAGCAACAGTGTCTCTCTGGAGACAGACTAAGGTGTGTCTGATACAGGTCATGGTTTTTGCAATCACTTGTTATGCATCAGAGATTTAGACAATGACTAGGGAGGATAGAAGGAGAATTGACGCCTTTGAGCTGTGGTGCTGGAGAAGAGTATTGAAAGTACCATGGACTGCCAAGAAAACAAACAGATTCATCCTAGAGAGGGTTAAACCAGGCTGCTCCTTGGAGGCAAGGATTCTGGGGCTTCGTCTGACATACTTTGGACATGTTGTAAGGAGAGACAGGTCTTTAGAGAGGGACATCATGCTGGGTAGAGTAGAGGGACAGCGCAGGAGGGGAAGACCCTCTATGAGGTGGATTGATTCAGTGACTGGGGTAATCGGGATGGGTGTGTCAGAGGCAACGAGACTGGCACAGAACAGAGCACAGTTTAGGGCTATTGTACATGGGGTCGCTATGAGTCACAAACGACTCGTCGGCACATAACAACAACAACATCATTGTCATTATAGATGAGGAAACAAGAGGCTTAGAAATGGTAAATTGCCAAAGTAAGTTTAACAAGTTGCTGCACACTTTTAAATTGACAACCGTGCTTAGAAACACATTTGCCGTCATTTGCGGCAATGTGTTAACAAGGCTGAAGGTTGAATCTGTGCTGGATTCTATAATCTATTCAAGTGTGTATTAGGATATTTCCCAGGAAGAATGACATGAGACAGAAAATTTCAAGGCAACCAAGTTGTAATTTCTTCAGCACTAAGAGGCATTCCCGAGTTTACTGTAATCCTGGGTACAAACAGGATGGTAACAAGTTTCAGCAGAGATGTTCTGTTTGTTATACTAAGGACTCACTAAAAAATTCATACTCATCCTACCATCAAGTCTGTTCCAACTCAAAGCAATCCTCCCTTGGGTTTCCAAAGCTATAAATATTAATGAGAGGACTGTAGATACTAATGAGCCCATCTTTTTCCTGGTGGGTTCGAACTACCAGAGGCACACAGTCTTGGGTTGGTAATGTTACTCACTGTGTACTACACCACCAGTGGTCCAGTACTAAGGTCTACAGACCAACTTTTTTAAAAATATATTTTTATTTTATTACTTTTTTGTGTGTGTACTGTCGAATCGGATCTGACTGGTACAGGAGGAGATTGCCCGTCTTGCCTACCTCTGGGATTGCAGTGCAGCTTCTTGCCACTAGGCCACCAGAGCTCCCTTACCAACCATTTTTGTCTGTTCAGTTGGATTAACGGTCCCTCATTACCCTATTCAATAACTAAATTTGACCCAGCAACCTAGGGCCCAAGAAATACCTACTAACTACGTGAAGACTGTATAAACCCTCGTAAATCAATAAGGTACTCTGATTTAAATCAGTAACGAAGTAAGAATATAAAATGAGATGTAAGAGAACATTTAACCAACCTTCATGCATGCTTTCCTCCCTATCACTGTGAGAACGAAATTTCTCTATAGTCTGGCATCCCAAGAGTTTAGTATTAGTAGTCTGTCCTCTCAAAGGAAATGTGCCACATGTGAGGTCCAGGGTGTATCTTTCTTCACAGTACTCTAATCCCTGAAACATAAAACATATATTATTTATGTTTTAGTAAAATGTCTAAACAAAAATTAGCTCTATAATTAAACCTTTTAGTCTCTAAAATAACACAAATTTTTACACTATAGTTGTAGAAGAGAACAAATTACTGGAAAAGGCTCCATACAACCCAAATAAGATACATACGTAAATAACAGCCCAAGAAATTACCAGTACATTTTCTGAAATGATGACTGAATGTAGAAATCCTTCTAATACTGGGCGTAATGTAAACTGGAATGAACATCAAACTTAAACAAGCATTTGTATAATGAGATAATATCATACTGCGGGAGCATAATGATACGAGTACATTATTGTGTTAGGCCACCACATTTACTCTAGTGGTCGCATAGAAATAATTGCTCTAGAATAGGAGTTTCTTTTACTCACCAATTCCTTTAAAAATCTGGCAAAAGCTAGTAGTCTTATCTCAAGAAAATGCACATTCATAAATGTTTTACATATCATTCAGGGATTTTGTAGATTCCCTAAAGTCCACTCACATGCCTCTCAAATACTAGGCTAAGAAACAGCTCCCAAGACCGATACCTTGCAAGGACTCACAAAGAAGCAGTAACAGCAGCTTCTGCTTCTTCTGCAGAAATTCAGTCAGAAAAAAAGAGATATTCATCTGGAAAGACTGGACTTGTTCACCCTCCTTTCTAAGTGTAAACGGCAAGATTTTTTATAGTCACCCCATGGCTTACTGCCTGATGTACTAAATTCAAGCATCAAAGTATAGTTCTTTTTTTCTGACCTACAATCAGACCATAAGCTCAAGTACAGCCAATGTTGTTGTTGTTGACTGCCTTCAAGTTGGGCACGACTCATAGTGACCCTGTGAACAAAAGTCCTGAAACCCCTCTACAAACATCAACATTTATCAGAGTTCATAGTTTCCAGAGGCATGTTATTTAGGAAGTGGATGCCACTCACTGCTGCTTCCAAACCTGTCATAGTATGTTATTGTTGTCATGTGCCATTGAGTTGCCTATCCTGAGCCAGTCTTACTAACTCCAACACACCAACCCCCACTGCTCCAGTTACTATATCAATCCATCTCATCCAGGTGTCTCCTGTGCTGTCCATCCACTCTTCCGAGCATGATGTCCTTCTTCAAGGACAAGGATCTCTCTTGGCCACGTGCCAAAAGTAAGTGAGGTGGAGCTTCAAAATCCTAACTTCCAAGGACAGTCTTGATTTCACCCTCTCCAAGACAGACCTATTTGTTTTCTTGGCAGTCCATGCATGGTATATTCAAGACACTTCTCCAGCACCACAACGCAAAGGCATCTATTCTTCTGTTAGTGCAACCCATACAAGAACTAATTTTAAAGGGAAATGACACCTAGAGACATTAATGATGCCACCCAGGTAAATGTACCTACTCTCCTGATCCCTGGTCTTCTCTCCACTGTAATGTAATGACAGTATTAACTTCACTTTAAGAGTAACTTTTTTATTTTTTTTAGTTACAAGGGTAACTAAGAATAACTTATTACTTTAAAACAAGGATAACACATGAGATAAACAATAAAGAAAATGGTGATATTATCTTTACGATTTACCTCATATAAGATTTGTCCTGATGCGAGACACTTTCGGTCACCGAAAGCCAGCTGGAGTAGATGCAAACTCAACACATCTCCCTCCCTGAAAGAAACCAAGATTAACCAAAGTGAGACATCAGACACCCAGCAAAGCCTCAGACAGAACTTGTTCTCCAATTAAATTTAGGTGATATACAATACCGAGTACACATAACAAAACTAAGGAAGGTCACAATGAAGGAACCATGTTTTATATGGTTATTTTCAAAGCATATAATTCTTGGAAACAGTAATCTCTTTCTACTTTTTATTACTCATACTAAGTTGGTGTTGTGTGCCTACTTTAGGTAAAATCTTATGCAGCTGTGATGATTTTAACTGTTTACACAACAGTCTTCCCTTGTTCAACAAGTATGTTTTAAACATATGGACATCCAAAGTATATTCATTTCCCAACTTCCCCTCAAGCTGGCTGTGGTAACCCCATTAAGTTCTGATCATTAAGATGCACACATCAAAACAACTATGAGATATCATCTCACCCCATTTAAGATTAGCAAAATTCAACAGAGCAGCAAAGAATAAACGCTGGCAAGGTTGTGGAGAAACTGGAACCCTTATTCACTGTTGGTGGGAGTGCAAAATGGTGCAACCACTATGGAAGGTTGTATGGCGATTTCTCAAAAAGTTGCAAATAGAAATACCATTTGACCCAGCAATTCTACTATTGGGATTATATCCTAAAGAAACCAAAACTGCCACCCAAACAGATATATGCACACCCATGTTTACTGCTGCTTTGTTCACAATAGCAAAGAGCTGGAAACAACCCAAGTGCCCATCAACAAATGAGTGGATAGAGAAGCTGTAGTATATTCACACAATGGAATACTATGGTGCACTGAAAAATAAGGACACTGGAGGACATTATGCTGAGTGAAATATCTCAGTCACAAAAGGACATATGTTGCATAGTGCCATGGATGTAAACCAGGACTGATATCAGCACTGGAGAGAACTTAAGAGGGCATAAATAATGTATACTGCATTGAAACAGATAGGGAGAGAACTGTTTAAAAGGGATATGTGATTAGGTATTGTTGTCATGACAGGAGTCCAGTATGAAGGCTGCATGGTGGAGTGCACTTGGGGGGAGGGATTATCTAACAATGAAAGAATTTTTCTTTTACTTTTCAAAGAGAAGAACAAACTGGGAGGTAGGGGTGAGCCAGGAGAAAAGTTCAACAACGAATGAATTGAAATCCAAAGTCTCTGTAAACCATTCCTTAAAATTAATAATAATTTAAAAAAGAGGGGGGAAAACGATGCACACAAATTTATCCCAGGGCATATCCTTTGCTCTTTTCCTCTGTCTTGTAGTGCTTCTAACTAGAATAAAGATGTTGCCGTCAAACATGAGAAGTGTTATACAACAAAAGGCTTAAAGCAGAGATGCCAAATCATTTCTGTACTGCTCAGGACAATATGCAGTAAGAATTAAGGGGAGGGATCAGTTGCACTCTCTGCGTTTGAATTCTGATTCTTATTGGTTAATCCTTAGGGCAATTCTTTTACTTAATTTCCAGTATACCTGAATCTGCTAATGCTACCATACTCAACTATCTACTCAAAACATGTAGAAACATTAATTCAACTGTCATCACCATTTTAACTACTACTCATTAATTCACAAAAAGACAATTAAAAATATAACATATTTAAAAAATTAATAACTAGTGTTCCATTTTTGAGAAAGTTTTTAAAACTCTATGCATCTTTCTTACCTATCTTGTGCAGACTGAACAGCCCACAAGTAACAGCAATTACGAGGATCATTCTCAGGTTCTTGAAAAGTAACAGCATATACAGGAACTCTTCCACCTTCCAGCTGTGTGTAATATCTTTAACAAGTAGAAAAAAAATGGCACATCTTTTTAAGCGAAAACTTATAGGAAAAAATGGAAGGGTTTGATGTAAGAATTTGATCTTAAAAAAAACCCCAAAACCCCAAAAGAACATGGTCATGATATATATGTATGTATAAGCAACTTTTTTACATTCAGAAAATTTTATGTCACCAAACACTTTTCCCCATTAAGAAGTAACCCACAAGGGGAGCTCTGGTGGCCTAGTGACAAGGAGCTGCAACTACAATCCCAGAGGCACACGGTTCGAATCCACCAGATGCTCTGCCGGGGAAGGAGGGACAATCTCCTCCTGTACCAGTCAGATCTGATTTGACGGTACACGCACACAAAAATAATAAAATTTAAAAAAAAAAAAAAGTAGCTCACAAACAGATGAAGTTCTGCCTTAAAACCCCATAGCCATTACTCAAAGGTTGGCAGGGCAGCGAGTAATAAATGTTGGCGAGGATGTGGAGAGATAGAACTCTTATACATTGTTGGTGGGATTGTAAAATGCTACAACTACCCTGGAAGGCAGTTTGGCACTTCCTCAAAAAGCTGAACACAGAAATTCCATATAACTCAGTTATTCCACTACTTGGAATATACCCTGAGAAAATAGGAACTGAGGCACAAACAGAGACTTATACATCAATGTTCATATCAGCATTATTCACCATCTCCAAGAAGATGGAAACAGCTCGGATGTCCAACTACAAATGAATGGATTATAAAATTATGGTAAATTCACACAATGGAATAATATGCAGCACATAGGAGCAATGATTTTGTAAATTATAATCTAACTTGGGAGGGACTGGAGAGCAGTATGCTGAGTGAATTAACTCAGTTCCATAGGACATATACGGTATAAAACCACTATCGTAGAATGCGTATGAGGATCCAAGGGGGAGGGGAAGCAGAGGAGTGAGGATGTGTGATGGGGTAGAGGATGTGTGGGGGGTAGGGTGGGCTTATATTCATGGAGTTGCACAATTTGATTGGGGGGGTTGAAGAAAATGGAAGATCTGGTGTGAAAAACAATGTATTCAAATTTTTTTAAATTTTACTTTATTGATTTTAATGAAAGTTTACAGAGATTTTGGATGTCCATTCATTCGCTGTTGCATTTTTTTCCCTGTTCACCCTTACCCCATATTCAAATTTTATAAATAAACTAGTATAAAAAAAAAGAATGTAAAATATAATGTATGATTGTACAAAACAAAATGTAAATGAAAGATTATATAAAACACAATGTATATGAATGAAGCATACTGTAAAGGTATTATTATATGAAAATCAATAAAAAAAAAAAATCCCACCACATGGCCTCTACTAGGACAGAAGATTTAAAAACCTTAAGGAATTCCCTCATAAATCTCTTAAAAATTAATAAGCCATGAGATGACAGTAATTATAGGGAGGGAAAATTTATAATTAAAGAGCTATAAAACTTTTGTTAAAATTAGAAAACGTTATTGTAGGAATCAAAATACCTAGGCATACCCTCGGGCCAATTTAAACACAAGAACTGCTAAACTAAGATATCAGCAAAGAAAAGTTCAAATGACATTATCAAAGGGAGTAGGTAACAGCACAACTACTTAATCACTGGCACTGTACAAAAAGATGTCCAAAATTTATTTAATATTTTTCTAATATGAATAAAAGGAGCTCTGGTGGCCTAGTGGCAAGAAGTTGTGCTGCAATCCTGAAGGCACACAGTTCAAGGCCACCAGCTGCCCTGTGGGTGAATGATGGGCAATTTCCTCCCAAGCTATTAACTGCCTCTGAAAACCTGCCAGAGGGTCAGCTATATGTCAGTTCTGACTCCATGGTACACAATATGACTAAAGAACTTAACAGTAAAAATGAGCCTGGTTTGTGATGAAGGAATCTATTTGTTATTTTTCATCTCTCATTTCACTTTGAACTTGGCAAGTACGGACTAATTTGCTGACTCGACTAATTAGATACTTTGGGAAGGTGTCTCATCCACTCCAGAGTTCATCCACTCTAAAGTCTACTTAAGAAGTAAACTCCCATCAACAACTGAATGGACTGAGAAGCTGTGGTATAGTCACACAATAGAATACTATGCTGCATTGAAAAAGATGGAACTCATGCAATATTATTCAAAATGGGTGACCCTGGAGGACATTATGCTAAGTGAAATATCTCAGTCACAAAAGGACAAATACTGCATGGTGCCACTGTTATAGAATGGGACTGACATCAGGGAGGGGGTAAGACTGAAAAAACTAGATAAATTATGTATACTGCATTGAAACAGATGAGGGAGAGAACAGTTTAAAAGCAATATATGATAGGGTATTACGGTTATCACAAGAGTCCTGAATTAAGGTTGCATAGTGGAGTGTACTCGGGGCGGTGGGGGAAGGGTGTGGGGGGATTGTATACCAATGAAAAAAATTTTTCTTTTACTTTTCAAAGAGCGTAGCGAACTGGGGGGGAAGGGTGGGCAGGAAGAAAAGTATAACAATGAATGAATGGACATCCAAAATCTCTGTAAATGTTCATTAAAATTAATCAAATTTTTTTAAAAAAGCCAACTTATCACATGAATAATGTTCATTAGCACTCTAAAGAAAGAATTATGACCCTCAATATTTTACAGCTATTAATTAAAAAGTATCGATAGGATTTTATTTTGGAGACTGGTAGCATAAAGATTTAAAAATATTTTACAACTTATTTTTAATAGAAACTTCCTAACAAAAATTGTTTTCCTGTCCACTAAATACACCTTTAACTATTATTTTATATAGAAGAATATGGGGGAAATTATTTTAAAAAACCAAGTAATTTTGTCTTTGGAATCAATCATGTGTCAGTTACAAATGATAATCACAGGAACTTAAAATATATTTTACATAATCACCAAAGTAACACTCTTAAAGAGAAACCACATAAGAAAGTACCAAACTGGATGTGTGTGCTAAGTCATTTCTTTACCAAATTTGGACTGGAGCCAATTAGAAACCATTAATCAATTAGAAACTCATTAATCTTCCCTACTCTTTTCTCTTTATGTCAAAGAAACTACCAATAATTAGGTCAAAGGCATACTTACTCTCTCTTCAAGCTTTTCATATTCCAAAGTGCTAGAAAGCCATCAGAAGAGCCTACAGCCAGGTGGTTCGTCCTGCTGATGAAACTAAGAGTTGACACAGGTGTCCCCGAAGGGCTCGTCAACTGGAAGCACAGATGCCGTCCTTCCTGCAACACATTTTCTCGGAGCTGTGGTACTTCAGCTGGAACACCAGTTAAAACTTCAAGGTCTACGAACAAAAAATAACCAAGACGAACAAACTATAAAGAGCAAAAAAGAAGAGAGGAGACCCTCTACAAGACGAACTGACACAATGACTGTAACAGTGAGCCCCTACATATCAGAGATTAGATGATGGAGTAGGCTAGGCATGGTTCAAATCTGTGGTTCACTTGTGACTCAAAGGAACCCACCAACAACATTATCCAAATTACAAAAGTTGACTACTGGAATTAGTTAAAACAGACAAGTGATTCAAAGGCATAGTGAAGTATCAGAGTAATCTTGAGCTATCTAAATGAGTTTCTATGATACAGTAAGCTTATTGGTAATGATCTAATAGCACTTATCCCTGACATTTGACTTTTACAACTTTGAGTCTTCAGATAATTAGGATACTTGTACATCACTGCCATAAACCCCATTATTGTGAGAGGATGACCTTAAACATGATGGACTGACACAGCCTCTGCAATAATGGGCTGCAGCATGTCAGAGGCAGTGAGGGTGGCTCAGGATAGTGCAGGGAATTAATATGCTGTTAATAGAGTCATAGGTTCACTATGAGCTGTAGCTGACTTGATGGCACATAACTGCAACGACGGCGTCTGTTCTTGTCCCATGCTTCTTTCCTAGACCTGCTCTGTGTCTTGCATAAGTGCATCTAAGGGAAAGAAACAAGGACAAAAACTGTGCACTTTCCTAATCTGCACACTTTCCATTCAAAAAGCCTTTTTAAACAAGTTCCTCACAAGAATTTCCAAACGAAGGGATAAATCTTCATTGGTCATTTGCTTAGTACTAAGGCCCAGAGTCTGTGAGACAGGCAACAGGCATTACAAATGTGCCACCTTTTTTCTCCTTACAGCATTGCCAACAGCAACTACAGGTGACACAGTTTCTTGTTGCACCTAAACAATTCACATTTCAAAATACATTTCATTATGTAGTTAGAAAAAAAAGACCTTACAAACGATCTTAAATACTGCCATAAGTAAAATTTTTTTATTTATTAATTTTAATAAACATTTACAGAGATTTTGGATTTCCATTCATTCATTGCTGCACTTTTCTCCCTGCCCACCCCACCCCCACCAGTTCGCTCCTCTCTTTGAAAAGAAAAAAAGTTCCTTCATTGGTATACAATTCCCCCATCATTCACATTCTCTTTCTCTCTCTCTCTCTCACACACACACACACACACACACACACACCCACACCCTGCCGCACTGAGTACACTTCCCTATGCAACCTTAATTCTGGACTCCTATGCTAACCATAATACTCAATCATAAATTGCCTCTAATCTGTTCTTTCCCTCCCTCTGTTCATCCGTTTCAATACAGTATACATAATTTTACCCAGTTTTTTCTCTGTCTTACCCCATCCTTGATGTCAGTCCCATTCTACAACTGTGGCACAGTGCAGTATTTGTCCCTTTGTGACTGAGATATTTCACTCAGCATAATGTCCTCCAGGGTAACCCATTTTGAATAATATTGCATGAGTTCCTTGTTTTTTAATGCGGCATAGTATTCCATTGTGTGAATATACCACAGCTTCTCTATCTATTCGTTTGTTGATGGGCACTTAGGTTGCTTCCAACTCTTTGCTATTGTAAACAAAGATGAGATAAACATGGGTGTACAGTAATATTTTTCTTAAGCACTACACTAATTTCCTTAATCACAATAAAGCAGGTAATTTATTGTTTTTAAATCTAGAATCACAATCTAAAAACTCTCGTTGGAGACTGAGAAAGATGGGCTTGATTATGTATACTGCATTGAAACAGATGAGGGACAGAGAACTGTTTAAAAGGGACATATGATTAGGTCATGACAGGAGTCCAGAATGAAGGCTTTATAGTGGAGTGGACTTGGGGGGAGGGATTGTACAACAATGAAAGAATTTTACTTTTCAAAGAGAAAAGCAAACTGGGGGGCAGGTTGGGCAAGAAAAAAGTACAACAATGAATGAATGGAAATCCAAAGTCTCTGTAAACTTTCATGAAAATTAACCCATTAATTAATAAAAAAAAACAAAACCACAAAAAAAAAAAAAACCCACACCACTTTCCTTGGAGGAATGGCTGGTTCTACAGCTAGGCTAATAAACATGGAAGATAAGCCGAACATATCTTGCCAGAAACTGATGATGCTTATCAGTTAAAGGGGATACTAACAATTTCCATATATTTTAATATGTACACACATATGCACATGTAGATGTCTAAGTATGTGCAGACAGAGTCACAGATACTTCTCAAACATAATGAAACACCTCACAATGTTGGTTTTGTGGGTTTCAAGGTCTAGGACAACCTAAGCCAAACCTAACTGGAAATAACATTATACTAATTTCTTATGCTGTGAATCAGCATTTCAAGTAGCATTTATCCTTGCCTTTTCTGTCTATGATCATTTTATTCTGCAGTTCTTAAATCAATAATTTCGACTGTCAAAACAATTAGTGCAAAATAGCCTTTCTAAACTTCCACATTACTGACAATCTTTGTTATGGACCAAGAATCATTATTAAGGTGTCTCCAGACAATGAATGACAAAATAATACTCCTTAGAGGACAAAAATGACTCTTGGATGAGAACCACTAACAGACTGAGGGAAACGAATGCTTCAAGAGAAAGGATCATGCTGACTTCACCTGAACACAACTTAGCACTAAATGGGAAACCACCAAACACCATGTACCTACTGACATAATACAACCTGAGGGTACCAAACTAACGTGTTTCACTCATAATTACAGCAGCACAAAAATAAATGACACCACATAAAAACATGCTCATAACTGTAGAATAGGGGAACGCTCTTCCAGGTAGCTGAATATCCTGTGCTAGTCAGTAGTATTTAAAAAAGGAAAAAGGAGAGATGATTGCTCTGCATTTAAGGAGACTTGAAGAATAAGCATCGAATAGAACGTGTGACTTTATTTGCATCCCAATGTGTTAGAGATCAACACAACAAGTACAGCCTGGACACTGGACAGTACCAAAGAATTCTTCAGAGTGTTATTAGAAGTGAGATAATGAAATTCTCCACATTCACTATAAAGAAAGGGAAATAAAGGAAACAGAGGTAGAATGCACAAAGCACGTATTGTAGCACCTCTTGAAAACGAACTTGGGTGGTTTATATGAAAATTCGTATATTCTTCTATCTGCTTGGGGGTGTTTGAAAAGGAAAAAACTCCTCGTTATACAGTAATAAATACAAGGGCAGATTTTCCCAAGGTTGTTAATTTAAAAAAAAAAAAGAGAGAGAAAAAAGAGATCACCATACTTGAATTGCTAACTTCACATTCTTTTCTGCCTGTTTTTCAGTAAACAGCAAATTACTTCATTTTATCAAATAGTTCTTTGTCTTTATCGAAAACAGTGGAATTACTACAACTTACTCAAAAGACAAAGGCAGATCTATCACTAATGATTTGGAAGTATATGTAAGAAAGAATGTTAAGTTTGGAAAAGCAGCAAAACTCCATTTACTGAGAAGTGCTGTCAATTTCAACTCCTGGCAACTCTCCAGAGGGCTTCTGAGGCTATAAATCTTTAAGGACAAAAAATGCACTTCTTCATGTCTTAAGACAGCTGGAAGAATGCACACTGCTAACCTTGTGGTTAGCAGCCCAACATGTATGGCACCAGGACTCCTTAGAATATGCTTGCAATTTATTTCTTCTGAAATCTGGTTTGAATACCTACAATCGTAATTGCTTTTGTATACAACATTCAGTCTAGAGATGTATATTATTTATTCTTGTGCTGAATTCACCAACTGATAACGGATTTCTGAAATAAAGCATTTTACTAAAATATAAAGGACTTAAATTCTATCATTTTCATCTAAAGAGTTTTAATTATGAATACATTTAAAATTATAAATGTACAAAGGATTTTTAATTCCTTGATCAATACTCAATAAAGAGAAGTCAAACTATTTCTAATAGTATTCAAACTCATTTTTAGTTAATGTATTTTCTATAGTCAATTTGTCTCCCTTTTAATTTTAAAAAGAACTTTCACCTACTTCTAAATTTAGAGATTACAGTTCCATCACAGTGTATTTCTTTTTTAAGTGTTTGTATGCATGGTCATTATTTTTAGCCAAATAAAAATTTTAAGGTCATATTTTGAAAATTTTAATTTTTGTTCCGATGATCTGATCCTTCAGTCAACTTCTATCTAGTCAAATAGAATCTTTACTACTTGTAGTTTAAATCAGTTTTACTATATACTAATTTGTTCCATTTACAAACTGGATAAAATACTGATAACTTGGGTCTGTCCCTTAAGCCTGGATCTAAATGAACAGGTCACACTGATATTCTGGAAATCCTTTAAAAATAAGCAATGTCCTCAGGGTCAAAGAATGTTCATGGTCTAACGACCCCGTGTTTTTAAGAGGTCTATCTTAGTTCTTTCTATATAGACCAATCAAAGGAATTAAAAAAAAAATTCAAAGTATTAGATATGTATGGATTTATAAACACAAGCTAATTACTATTAAAGACTAAAAATCTTGTCACTGTTCATCTTCTTTGAATACTAGCAACATCAGTCCCATTTTAGGATGCAATTATGTGACAAAACACTGAACTTTATCAAAACTACACTGTTAGTTCCCATTATATAATGCTATTTCTACCTTAGTCTCACCACAGGAACAGAAACAGCAAACCAAAAGCATGACGCACATGCTTGGGTAATTTTATATTGGCTGATAAAGACTGAGATTTTTAAGCACCATATAATGTGCTAAAAGAAAAAAAAAGACTAAGATTTCAGCTACTCTCCTGCATCTACTTATTACATCTTATCTAAATGCGTCTCTGAAATAAATCAGCATTTCCAGCTCTACATAATTTACTTTTGTATATATATATATACTTTATCAATAAAACAGTAATTTATGCAAAAAGCACCACAGTGCCCAGTCAAAACACTAAGAGATTCAATAAACAGAAACAAGTTTCTAGATGCTATGTTTTCACTATTTTTTTACAAACCAACATGAGAATTTCCAGGTACTCCCTGTTGGTTTCAAAGATAACTTGTTACCTGATGCCTCAACTTCATTCTGACTGCACAAGTCATCCAAACACAGGTCAAGAAGCAGGATCTGTCCAATGTCAGTGGCCACGGCTGCCACCCCAAAAAACCATCGCAGCCCAGGGTGTAAATGCTGAGTGCCTGTGCTGGCTCCTCCACGATTAACTATAGGTTCAATATTGGTTACCTGAAAAGCAGAAGATGGAATTTGTTTTTATTCTATGAAGCGATAAAATAGAAGTCAAAGTACAAATTTCAAACTGAACTGAAGTTATCAGTTACAAGAGCTTTTAAAAATGTTATTCTTAAATAACTAAATAACATACAATTGCAGCTATGACCCACAGCAATCCTACAAAAAGAGATCAGAATCTTGCCCCATTTTGCACCATTCTATATATAATGACCACAACATATTTCATATATTTTTAATGTCTTCATAAAACACTTGGAAATAGTAAGATTCATAATAGTTTTTGTAATTTACTATTTCAAACACTACATATGCGCTTCAACAATTTAGATCCTCTCAGAAGAGCTGTGGGTGAGCATTAACATTACTGGTAAGTATATTCATTTTCTCCTGGACACAGAGCCTACTAATTGGTCCTAAAAGCCTTCTGAGGTCCCAACTCTTCTCGCTATTTTTTAGTTGTTAGAATGGACGGAAAACCTCATAAGCAGTTCCTTACTTCACCGCTACCTTGCATGCGAACTTCCGAGTTGTAAAACAACCCAGTGGTAGATGGAACTGGCTTCAGGACTTAAGAACCATAAATGACATAGCTGAGCCTCTACATCTTGTGGTTCCTAACCTGTACACTATAACAGACAAAGTGCTAGTCTATAGGCCTTTTATTGTAAGAACCACCTTCCCTCTGTAACTTGATTTGTGCCACTATTAGAACCTCCCTGGAATATTATTGCTTTTTAAGTTTTGACTTATGTACTTTTAACTTGTTAGTTAAATTTGTGTCTTCTAGGCTGCAACACTTCCATGATACATCTTCAAGGATATGAACATGTTTGGCTAAGCACAATTGATAACAGTGCATCTAAATTCCAAAATCAATCTCCACAATAGTTTACGTATTTCCTATTGCCAAAGGGGCCCTTTAGAGTAGTGAGAGAAGATCTTCACCCTGAAACCTACAGCGTCCCTTTTCAGCAGGAAGTAGCTAAGAGAATACGCTGTCCCCTTTTCCTTATGAATCAGTGTAAAGTCTCTCTCAGGGAGGAGTGATAGGGAATGGCAAAGGACACACTGACAAAGGAGATTAATCAGAACTGGCTTTGACAAGCACTGTGGCAATTGGATAATTAAAACAGACATGAGGGGGGAAGAAGAACGAACTGGGGAGGAGGGTAGAGAAAACAGTGCAACAATGAATGAATGAAAACCCAAAATCTCTGTAAATGTTCATTAAAACTAGTGAAATTTAATAATAATTTTTTAAAAAACCACTACATATGTTATCATCCTTTTCCTAACCAAGAATAAGAAAGTAATAATTTAAATGTTCACTTCTTTATAAGAGTTTGCTTTTTAAAAAACCTTTTTATTAAAAAATAACATACAAAAAAAAAAGCATACATAAAATACTCATGAATTTTAAATGAACAGTGCAATGAATAATCAAAGTAGATAAAGGGACAAAACCAGGAAGTATTCAGACTTAAAAACACAAGTGTCCAGATAAAGACAGCACCTACCCTTCCAGGAAGAATGACGGCTTTAACCACTCTTGATACACCAAGGTCATAGAGACAGAGGACACTGCCTTCTGCTTCTTCCAATCCAATGAGTAGTCCAGTTTTCTTCTGCCAAGAGAATTCTCTCACGGCAAGAATCACAGGGGGCTGGTCACTTACCCCATTAAATCTATACGCAGATAATCGAGCTCCTGTTACAGAGTTTACTACCTCCAGCTGCGGACCACAAGCCAAGCAAGCAAGTCCACTTTTCCCTACAAGAGAAAAGACCAACTTATTTGAATACTGTTCATATATACAAAACTAAAGATAAGTTAGCTCATATAGTACATAAGTCATTATACAAAACATATTCTCTTTCAATTGAACTCGAAAGGCCCACCCCAAGGATGTAAGGGTCCCCAGCCTCAGGAATGTGATCACCAAGGCCCTTGGCTCATCTTGGCCCTCCCTGGCTCCCAGGAGTGTGCCCGCCCACCAAAGCACTCAGCTCATTCTTGCCCTTCCTGGCTCCCTGCCTGCTTCTGGGAAGGCTGTACATACTCTTCCTTTTTCCAAGTGGCCTGTGCAACTACTTTATTAGAAATTATGCTTTGGGAGAAGGGGAAAAAAAAAATCAAAGTGATTCTGAAATTAGAAAAAGAGAAAATGGAGCAACTAATATTGCTATGATAAGAACCACTCCGTAAAGGCTATATGCTTAAACACACTGTCATTTATTCGTGTTTAGTTTGTTGTTTTTAAGTTAAGAATGGTAGTTTATTCACGCATACTGTATATAAGGAAAAAGAGTGGGAGACCTGGACAGCCTGCAGGCCACCAAAACTCAATTCTTCAACAATCTTCAACAGAGTTAAGTCAACAGTTAAATAACTTGCCCATAGTCACATAGCTACAAAGCAGGAGAGGGAAAGTGGACCCCAAATCTAATTTCAAGTATATTTTATCTTAGAGGATTTAAAACAGGAGTTATCGTAGTTGCTAGGTGCTATGAGTCAACTCCAATACATAGGGACCGTATGGTACAAGATAACAAAAGTGTGAGCAATTCTGTACCATCCTTAAAACTTAAATCCACTGCTGCAATCAGTGAGTCAGCCTACCTTGGGTCTTCTCTTTCAATACCTCTCTACTTTTCCAAAACTGTTATTCATCTACAAGAACTACCTTCCCCATCAAGAGCATGCCCAATGTAACTCTGCTTTGTTTCTCCAACTGCCCTTTGAAATCATCTCTTCAGCTTTTCACTTAATTTTTTTCCTTTTGCTTTTAAGAGCAAATTTCAGTCTCTTCAGACATATATTTGGGGGTCTTTCTGAATTTTAAATGACCTGCTTTTCTTCACGTATGGTATCTTTGATGGGATCCCACAACTTGTCTTGGTCTTCAGTTGCTGCGGCTCAGTTCAATGCATCAGAGCTACTCCTGTGATCATTCCTAAATTCAGGTGGGATATTCTAATTCTGGCTTTCAGGATTTACGGAGTCAAGTGATTTCTGAATATTCCATCAGGGGGAGATCTGTGTGTATAGTCACTGTTCCAGATTTTATTTCTTTAAAGTACTTGTAATGATTAAGTTGTTGGTAATGTACAGTTTTATCTTGGGATCTCCAGTCTCATTACTATCACAAAGCCATTATTTTCTAACCATCAATTTTCCCGTTTCTAACTCTTACATTCTATCATAGTTACTGTTCGCACATGCTAACTGCATGCTCAATCCATTTCAAACTGCAGATACCAGTTGTTGTTTGTTGTTATGTACCATCGAGTCACATGCGACTCATAGCGACCCTACTATGTACAACAGCCCTAAACCCTGCTCTATCCTGTGCAAATCGCACT